ACGCGCGTTCACCAACACTCATGCACGAACGAACTTACACACGCGCACAAACGCACACACATGAACACAAACGCACACACGCGCGCACGCTCGTGTATCATAACACACACACGTCTATTATTCGACCGTGTATTATCATTACAAGGAAACATCTACTAGTCTACTATACATAAAAAACAGAAGTGAATAAAAATAAATTTTTTTTTTTTTTCATTTACTCCTGATAAAACCGGAAGAGTCCTTCGTTACTGCGAGCGGCAACCTCAAGGATAGCTTCCATTAAAAACGAAACATACAATTCCACCATTTCGCTACGTTGGAAATCATCATCAAACACCTTATTCTACTCGCGTTTGCTGTCTATTATGTGCGGACGTCGACAGAAACTCGTTCTGCCCGTGAATGTTTGAAATGACGCTTTTTTCACATGTAGAGCATGTGTTTGACAAGTCTGTGTTAATACGCAAACACGTGTAACGCGACAGACATAGCAGATATATGTGAAACGCATACCTAGCCTACGTTCCAGTGTGTGAAGGCTGTGAGATTCGCTGGACAGTCAGGGTTATAGTCAATCTACATAACGTCTAACACCGTTGCGCGCACCCACACGCCAACAAACAGCAATAGTTATAACATGGATTTGTGTATGAACAACTAGCAGAAGTGACAGTCCATCATCACACACGCGCACGCACACGCATATTATAATATACACTGTACACACACGCACGCACGCACGCACGCACGCACGCACGCACGCACGCACGCACACACGCACGCACGCACGCACACACACACACACACATATATATATATATATATATATATATATATTATATACTTATACTTATGTACTTATTATATATACTAAGTAATTTGTTATTCAATAACTTTTTTTCGTTTATTTCAGAACAACGGTCAAAACGTGTATAATCACACTACGGTAAGGTGCGTATCTTTAAATATATTCCATAGCGTGAATTTCACAAACCCTCAACACACACAAGGTTTAATCAAATGAATGCTAGCTTGTCTTTCTCATATTTTTGTTATGTCCAGAATTAATGCCGAGTAGGTACATGCCATCTGTATTCTATCCCAGTGAACTGATACGGACTAGATAAAACCCACAGTTAACATCGGTCACACGTATTCGAGAAAGACTTATTAGAAGTCAACCTGTCAAAAACAACCAGTGGTTCTGAGAAAGCTCAGCTTTGTGACAATCCAGGTAATTATGCGACGAGATTTCGCACTCGAGTCCGAACATTGTCCTGTGAGAGAGAAGCCACCAGGGTGTGAGTACACGCGGAAGTATCTGCAGCGGCTACGAGTGATTGATGCGCGCATAGTGTAAGTTGATGAGATTACTTTCTTAGAAAGTTGATATGCAAATTAAATGCAGCCGCAATTACATACAATGAAGCAAATTATGGCCACTATTATTTGTAATCACTGTCATGAAGTTTAAAGCTTTGCAAAATCATTTTACTCATTATGATTTGGGTGCATATTCTCAAAAGGGTCATTGACCTCCTTCCGTTTTTATCTTATCTTATAATAAAAAAATCTAGTATATAAATAGCCACTATTAATTTGGATTAACTCCCGTGCACTTCCCTTCCCATTATATGTCACAGTGCTATATCATTAACTATTATACAATGTTTATTCATAAAATACTTACATGAGTTTTCCATTTTCTTCCATAGCAAGGTTTTGGTTGGTCTGAACATGCGTGATGATTACATTTTCTCCGGCCTGCAGTGAGGAGTATAGACATACAGCAATATTTGTAAACGAACGCACACATAAATAGAAGAAAGCCGCATCGTTACAAAACCAAGAGAGGAGAATGAAGGCGGTATTCGGAACACGGACGTCTTAACGTAGCCGACCTGCGCTTGCTTGCTTACCTTCACCGGCTTCCCCTCAGTCTCCAGTCTCCACATGGGATCGAACGACAGCACTTTCCACCGCGTGAAAGAAGATTCCTCATCGACCAGTGTCACCATCTGGTGGCGAGAGTGTTTGGCGCATCTCGTGAACGTGGCCGGCTCGCTGAACAGCTTGAGCTGGCAAGAAAAGGTGTGCGCGTGTGTGTGAGAATCGCTCGCTCATAAACGAAAACTCGTCCGTCGATCACCGCAGCATTAGTGTCCGACGTAGAAAATCTCATCACGTCAGCATACTGACAGTTTCTCGGGTTACTACCGAAAACAACTCGCGGAATTAATTTCCCCAACCTCGCGAGAGAGTCACTCACTAGTCGGAGTGTTATTCTTATTGCATACGGGAAGCATCGGCAGCTATGAGTATAAGATGTCGCAACATTTGAGCCGTACGTTTGCTCCGCATGCTGGCGTCGTGCACAGCATGAAGTGCTCTCCGTAGCGCAGTGGCTCGCCGACGTTCGACTTTCCGCCGACGGCGGCGACGGTCAACGCGTTTCTGGCGCACGACTCCTTGAACACGGCCCCCGATACTCTGCACGGACTCCGTACGCTGTTGTTACTGGCGCTGGAAGCGGGCGAACGTGGATCGATGTGTCGTAAAAATGACGCGACATATTCATGAATGCTGTCGTGTTAATTTGACGAGGAAAGCGGAAGTCTTAAAGTCTGTTATATGCGAACCCGACTATGTAAATTTTACCATAAAAACACAAAACAATAATATTTTACAAAATTGTTACTTAACATGAGGTATTTCATAAAAAAATTTGTGTTAGGGCTACTACGCACGTTATTCGCTATACATTTCGCACATCGAGCCACCCGTTAGCGTTATTAATGTAAAGTCTCGTCGGCTTACCTGCTTTCATCTATGTTAGCAGCCAGGCACACGGGTTTGCATTCGCGGTTCGTTGGGTTGTTAACTAACACCACCGTATCACCGTAATGCACTAGACCATCCGTACAGACACTGAGATTTACCTATAAAGAGACTCATCGTCCTCAATTTGTTTGTCACGAATGCAAGAGCAAAGCATTGTGCCGAGCTAAAACTAAGATATGGAGTATAAAGCATACCATCACTATAACGCATACACGTGTATGTATATATGTAATAGCGTTAATTGTACTCCACTACTCACTAATCACTACGTAATTTCTCTATAAATCCATAGATGTACATAAGTCACACAGTAACCATATATGTACCTTGCTCAATATATTGGATTTTAGAGAATGTATCTTCTGGATCAATAACTCTCCATTCTCTTTTTTCAGCAAAAAGTCCTTTAATTTATCCTAAAAATAACCAATTCATTTCATTATAAATTCGTGTTCATATATGTTAATTAGAAAGGGAAAAGAAAAAGAAAACGAAAAAGATAGGAGACCAAGAGCTGGGAATAACCCTGTAAAGCAATCATTGAACCAAGTGCAAACGTAACACAAAAAATCTACGAATCTACTCTTATCTGGGCACTTTCTCATGTAATGAATATGTCCGTGCAGATAGTCTCAGTTAGCATGTGCGGTTCAGGTAGAGACCATGGTCTGCATTTCTGATAAAATAGTGAACAGCTTGTTCCATAGGTTTCTCTGTAGGTCTACATCATACCATAATAACCCTTATTTCGTTGTTGCTCATCACTGAGTAAATCTCGAATCTTGATGTAAACATTCGAGTCACATTTCATTCACGTCAGGGATGAATCAGCCCATAAAACGATAAATTTAATTAAAGCCCATAAATTTACGAGCCCATAAAATGTATTCGTTATGATTTATTAGGTACACTAGGTCTTACCACGTAGATTTGTTGAAATGATTAGCTGGATGCTTACCCTTTATATTACTCTGTTTACGCTGTGTGTAGAACTCAACCCCACTTTAGGACCCCCCGGACATACGTCCTCTTCGTATTACATCATCACACTAACCTTAGCCGGCTCAGTCCTGCTTTGCAACTCCAGTACATAAGTCACCATCAACAACACTCTATTTGTTAACCCTAACGATTATTTCTAACTTATGTTTATCCCCAACCTAACCCGAATACCAACCAAATGTAAAGCCCACTGAAAATAAATCCAGGTTCTTATAGTAAGATTGAGCAACCCTAACTCAATGCTAACCCTATCATGCTCATGAACAGCCTCTCCTAGAGTAGGAAAATTGTTATATTATATTGGTTCCGAAAAATCGGGATGCGGGGGACAAAAGATATATACAATAATGTAAACGTAACTCAGCAACGCTCTGCTGGTTTCATTACTGTGCAGGCGCGGATTTAGATGGGGGCACATCCGGCCCGTGCCCCCCCTTTTAAAACCAAAAAAATAAATAATGAAGTACATTAATTAATAACATTTAATACATATTTAATTACAAAATTACAAATTAACAAAATTAATTTTTCTCAATTTCAATTTTGTAAATAAGGTTACAAGATGAGCTTCCAGTCAGAAATTGTCACATCATGACCCATTTTCATTTTCATAACTATTCAAAGTTGTCAGTCATTCTGAATTTCCTGCCAAAGAAAACATCTCAGAGTCATTACAAGAATTTGATTTTTACATTGTTAGAGATATATTTCTGGCCTGCAACTGTTATATGTCATACATGTATGTAACCGGATGTTTCATTAGGGAAGAAAGTACTAATTTTATTTTGCTTCTGTAATGACATACTCATACTAATACAAACATTCTTTCAAGTTTGAAATATATTCGAGTTATCACAAGATTTGTATTTTGAAATTGCCATATTTTTCTCTAGCCTGCAATAGTTATTTGATATGTGAATGTGCTTCTGTAATACCACATGATCATGTCAGAAATATATAAGGTTTAAAACATTTCAGTGTAATGTAATTTCTCGGTACATTTGACGGTCTTGATTGCCCCCCCCCCCCCCCGCTCCATACCGAAAGGCTGGTCACGCCACTGATCAAATTTAACACATAAATGCTTGCTGCAATATGTCACCCAAGTAGTATCGTGCGGCATAAAGGTCGAGCAGTGAAACTGCTTAATCTGTTAGAAAATGTTTGGCCGCAGTTCTCCTTATGCAGGCGCCTTTATCAGAGTTTTTCAAGTTACTGAACATAGGACATCGTAGCGCTGCACGAAAGGGGGTACAAACAACCATTCGAGAACAAGACCGAAAAATTAAATTCATCAAAATTACCTTTAATTTTTACGTCTCTGCAATCCAGATTATCAGCTTTAGTTAAGTAGCATTTTATCATGCGTTTAGGCCTACAATATAAAATCCAGCCACAACGTAAACGATTAATAAAACAAGCATGTCATAGGTGGAATGGTATATATTCTATGGGGTAACTCACCAGCTCAAATAGGGGAGCCTGTTCAAGGTGCCGAAGACAGAGCCAGGGGTTGGCCCAGAATCTGGCCCACTCTACTCATCATCGTTCAGCCAGCTGGCTCTGCTGCACACGAAGCGCGAAAACCGTATCGTCGGTAACGAGAATCGAGGAAGTACACGTCAGACAATGCTGCAAATTGGGCAGATAAAACGGGTAACTGCTGGCCCTGTTGGGTAAACGGGTCCACAGAGGGCGAGGAAGGCGAAAAGATCGACAATATAGTCTGGACAGTAGCACGTACTTGTCGAAGGGCTTACAAAGTCACAGTCCTGCAAACAGCTAGAGATCACAACGAAAAAGACAAAATGAGAATGAAATACGTCGGAAGTTCCATATTTGTCTCCGCTCCGAGTGAAAAGGGCTCGACCCATCGGCAACATAAGTCTAGCTGGCAAAAAATCAATGCAGTTTTCGCGACAGGTGAGTACATCATGGTAGGTATGCAACGACAACGCCGACGTCCACAATATTCGCTCGCCAGAAGGATTGTATGGTGTTCCTGTCAGGACCCTGGGAACAATGATGCGGGAGTCTCACAGAGAGGTCTTGCTCAGGGATCGCCATTCCCTCCTCTTACGCGAATTCTTTGCAAATGCCAAAGATTTGAATCTGCTAGGGCTTTGGGCTTTTCCATCACGGTAAGAAGGCCTATGTCGGCCTTGATCAGTATCCCTGTGGCGATAACTTCTGAGAGTGGCAATAGTGCTATAGCAGAGGAGCAATATCCTCTGGAATATCAGCCTGGCCGTTACCGTCAGGCAAACTTACGCATCCCTGGGATACTGTGATGGAGGCTGCCTCAGCCAATTCGCATGAAGAATGTATCAAAACCGTTCTGAATCTCAAAACACGGAGCACACATCTACATGTTCTCATGTCTAAGAGTTCTCATATCCAGCTCCCATTTCACGTAGGAAGAGACACCTTGGCGCGACTTGCAGCTGGTATCTTGAACCAAGTCAACGCATAGCTTGCAAGCCAGCATCACGGTGCTGTTCGCCTCTGAAACCACTCTGCTTTCCTCACGGAATGCGTATGCTCTCATCTCCCTAGGGTAGGCACCCATCCTGAAGGCCATCTGGCATCAAGTATTTTCTGCTGCTTCGGGGTATTCACTGACTTGAAAACAATTTAGGTTGTTACTTCAATGTGAAGCATGGAAACATGACCTAGCTCCTGCGTTGCCTATAATACCATGTCAAATGAGACAACTGGCTAGACCAGGCAGACGCAGACAGTCTGCAGCCTGTAAGTCTCATCGGCTACGCTGTCTTCCTATCAGCTAATTAAACTTACGAACTAATTAAACGAAGGTTGACCTGATCACTAATACTCTAAATTTATGATGTATAGACCATAAGATTAGGAGCGGATAGGGAGCTGTAGACAGGAAGGTACCGATACGCGCAGGATGACGAGGGGACGACCATCTAGTCGTGACAAAAATTTTCGCGAGTCTAGCCACGCTGTCTTTGTGAATTTTTAATGGAGTAATTCTATCTATGTAACTGAGCATTTTGTGCTATGGTACGCTGGCAGATTGCTCACTGCACGCATCTCTACTGGTGATTTTCAGGTGTAGTAGAACGAGCGTAAAAAGTAACTTTAGTAACGAGCCCGATCATCGTTCTGCGGTGACGTTAGTCCCGTGGCTCGGTGTGCTGCTAGACGCAACGCGGTACGGTTCCGCGTATACCGGAGCCGTACCCAGGGTACCTTCGGCAAGTGATCGCCGCGGGGGACGATAGACTCTAGCTCCCAGCATGGGTAATGCTATCCCCGCGGGCGTGGAGGGAGGTGACCGCGCAACGTGGCAGTCACTAAGTGTTGGGATAGTGTTCAGGATAGGAGGGTTAGGGTCAGTGTTAGGGTTAGGGTTAGGATTAGGGTTAGGGTTAGGGTTAGGCGCTTAGGTTAGGATTAAGGGTGTAGGGTTTAGAGGTTTTTGGCATGCAATGATATCTTGGTCCGCACACATCAGATTAACTTTTTGTGATCACAATGCCTATAATATAGGCGCGGCGAGACATAATATATTTAGTGTGAGGGTTAGTGTTGGCGTGTTGACTGAGGGGTTACCGTTAGTTAACGTTTTGAAACGCATCGTCACGTTTATGGCACGTGACCTCGCTCCACGCCCGGGGGGTAGCAACA